AATTATATGAGGGTTTCTTCTCACTTCCCTTTTTTTTTTTTAAAGACATTATTTACTTGAGAGAGAGAGTAAGCAAAAGAGAGAGACAGAGCTCGAGCAGGGGGTGGAGGTGTAGAGGGAGAGGGAGAAGCAGACTCCCTGCTGAGCAGGGAGCCTGATGCAGGACTCGATCCCAGGACCCTGGAACATGACCTGAGCCAAAGGCAGACACTTAACCGACTGAGCCACCCAGGCGCCCAGTCACCTCCCCTTTTTTGGAGGTTGGAAGATTGTCTCTCTATGAAAAAGACACTCATGATCCCTTCCATCATATAACACAATCATATGATACTGGAGAGTTGTCTGCAGTGCTGATAAATTGGTACTGGTCTCGCCCCCTTGCAGGCAGTGGCACATTCAAATCGGTGAAGTTACCACTGCAGTGTAGAGGGAGACCTGCGGTCCAACATCAGGGAAAGGAGAAGTAGAGAAGCCTCACTCCCAACAAGCCTGAGCCCCCACTATATTCCCCTAAGGGGGTTTTTGTTGTTCTTTTCATTTGTAACTTGACTTGTCATCTCTCATTCAAACAAAGCAATGAGAAGTGCCTGGGGTGGGGGGATACAGTGCTGCTTTACTAGCAGAGGTATTTGGGGAACAAAGAGCAGAAGGACTCTATGCTCCTCATTTCAGAGAGGTAGAAGGACCCTAGCTGTGTAAACCAGAGCATAGCATCGCCAAGATGCCCATGGCCCAGATCCAGGAGCAGCAGAACAGTTTCCTTGCCCTCAAGCCGTCATCAAAACAGAGCCATGCCCTGAAGGGATGGTTATGACAAGGACAAAAGCTGTCTGTGTGGATCAGTCACCAAAGATGAGACAGGGAGACACCATGGGTAACTGCAGGGACAGATGCCTAGGAGACCAGAGGTACATCTTCATACCACCCCTGGCTTTGCAGCAATAAATCCTCTGAAACTTTGTTACAGCATCAGAAAATGGGAGAGGGTGAGCCAAAGGTGACTGAAATTAAGTTTTCACCACTGGTACGAGGGGGACAATAAAAAGAAATTAAGTTGGGTATGAAAGAATAAGTTTTATTTCTCTGATGCCCAAGTTTGTGGAGAGAATTTACATTTGTGTAAGCATAAACAATTTCTGGAAGGACTGGAAGAAACTAACAGTTGTTGCCCCTGGAGGAAGGGAATATAGGTGTAGTGTGGGAGGAAAGCTTATTTTTATCATTTGTTTTTTCATATTATTGGACTTTTTGCCAAGTACATTTATTAATTTTTCAATGAAATCTAATATTTAAACTAAGTAGACAGACAGGACATTCAATGTTGAATTGATGGAAAAAAAGTTTCTTGGTTCTCTTCCAACTGCTGCCAAACACTTGGAATAGTAACTGGGATGTTATGTTCATTCATAATAATAGTCATATTGTTTTATGTTCCTTGTTTTTTAGGTACAGTAATTTGTACATGAGATAATAAACTTGGCCATCAAAAAGTACAGGTAATGGAGTGAAAAAAAATTTGATTTTATTAGATGAAGTTAATGGAAGCAAATAAGTTGTGAGCGATCAATTTTTAAACGGCTCCTCCTCTCCCTCACTGCACAGACATTTCTCCTTTAGCTTGTCCTTAAAAATTACAAATTAAATAACACATATGATGATTTTCAAACCCGAGGGCAGAAACATGCTTATAAAACCAGTACATTTTTCTCTTGTGGCAAATTCTCTGATGATGTATTTAGTCACGGGAATTTGGCCAGAAGCTGAGCCCCAGACCCTCTGTTGTATGTGGTGGGGGGCCCAGAGTTCCAGAGTGGGCCCCAAGGTTTTCTCCTTCCCACATTGTCAGAGTTGCCCAGTGATTTCTAATTCTTCGGGGGTGAAGAGAATCAAAGACAAGACAATAAAGAGCAAAACTCACATGCCAGTACGTGTTCCAAGAAAACAGATTTCAGGAGAGTCAAGTCTATAGAGTTCCAAAATAAAGTAGGGCTTCGTTACTTTACTCTGATGTCCGTTTTTCATCCAAACGCAAAGAGGGAAGATTTGAGGACTCGCTTAAATAAACTGGTTGATGATTTTTAAACTAATAATGATTTGGGGTCATTTGTGGGCTTAGAGCAGGCAAGGAGAACAATGCAAAAGTCCAGCACAGGAGGAAGACAGGGAGGGAGAGAGGAAAGGAGGGAGAGGAGAGGTGAGGGAGGGACAGAGAAAGAAAGAAGGAGAGAAGAGAAGGAGGGAAGGGGAAAAGGTAGGGCAGGAGAGAGAGAGAGAAGAGAAGAGGGGAAGAAAGCACCTTTACCGAGCACCTACAATGCCAGCTGTGGCGCCAGACCTTTGCAGGCTCATCAAACTAGAACAATGCTGTAAAAACGGTCTTCGTCTCACTTCTACTGACCAGGAGACAGGCTCAGCGTGGTAAAGGAAGCTTCTCGCTTTTCTCAAGGTACTCTGCCGGCCCGTGGCGAGCTCGAGAGTCAGACGAGACACGCCTGACATCAGAACCTCTGCCACCTTTTGCTCAACAAAGTCATCTCCCAAAGGATGAGAGGTTCAGAGCTGGGGCTTTTCTTTTTAATCTTAAAGGGGCTACGGGAAGGAGACTGTGGGCAATAAGGGTTAAAGTAAAATTACTCTGAAGCATATTTGATAGAAAACAGAAGTACGTGGCTTTTTAAAGTTAATAAAAGGTGTTTTTGTTTTTCAAGTGGGAAAAACCTTAGCTTAAGTGAAAGGGACACAAAATCCATAACTTTGGTCAAGGAAGCATATATCGGATCAGTCATGAAAAAGGGTGAAGCAAAATCAATCACGTTTTATTGATTTCAAAAACAAGAGAATTTGAACCACATAAAAGTCACATTTTGTATCTGTCAAGAAAACTCAGTGAAGACAATGAATTAGCTTGACAGAAATGAACTTGCCTTGAAAGAAACAAATCATCTGATAACATCCATGTTAATGGAATATAAAACCCCAAATGTCAGGAGGAGGAGAGAACCTTTCCTGGGTACAGGCAGTGCTTAGAAAGTTTCGTTGGCCTCTTCCTAATAAAGCTTTTCAATTTATTTTAAGAAGTTTGTATTTAGGATATGTTCACAGGGAAGTGAAATTTTATTGATAAATTATATCTTAAATGGCATACAAATTATGAGACTTTATGACTCGGTGCAGTCTGATTTTTACTGGATAGTATGTAGATCGGTACTTCTTTCTAAAAAAGACAGAAGTTCCTCCATCTAGTACTGAAGCACCAGCCCTCTCTATATGTCATCTTCAACACCCAGGGTCAAAGACCACTTTCTCCAAGAAAATCCCACCAGAGTCGTCTTTTTTTTTTGGAAGTACGGTACGTATGTGTGTTATTTGTACCCCTCTATTATACTTAAGAATTTCTATCCTGGATTATAAGGTTTTTAAAAATATGTTCTTAGTATATCCTCTACTAAATATAAGCTACTTGGGAGAAGGAACTCTATCTCTTTTTAACTTACTGTATACATAAAGTGATTACTGCTTAATATTTGTTGAACAGTGAAAATAAAGAAAAACAGACATGAATATCATATGCTGACATTTGAGGATGGAATTCTAGCCTTTTTTTAATTTTTAAATTTGAGTATAGTGGACACATAATGTTACATTAATGTCAGGTGTACAACATAATGCTTCAGCTTCGTATGTGTACTGTTCTGCTCATCACAAGCGTAGCTACCGTCTGTCACCATACAATGCTATTACAATATCGTTGACTATATTCCCTGTGCTGTACTGTTTATTCCCATTCTATAACTGGAAGCCCATATCTCCCACTCCCCTGCACCCATTTTGCCCATCCCCCCCTTCCCTCTGGCATCCATCAGTTTGTTCTCTGTACTTATAGGTCTGATTCTGATTTTTATGTGTTTATGATTTGTTTATTCATTTGTTTCATTTTTTAGATTCCACATAAGTGTGAAATCACATGGTATTTATCTTTCTCAATCTGACTTATTTCCCTTAGCGTAATACCTTCTAGGTCCATCCAGGTTGTTGCAAATGGCCAGATCTCAACCTTTGTTATGGCTGTGTAATATTGTACCACACACACACACACACACACACACACACACACACACACACACATATCCCCGCCTTCCTTATCCATTCACCTATCAACAGACATTTAGGTTACTTCCATATCTTGTTTCTTGTAAATAATGCTGCAATAGACATAGCAGAGCATATATCATTTGAATCAGTATTTTTCACTTTCTTTCTAGCCTTGAGCATTGTTTGGATTTTGTTTGCAACATGAAAGTTTAAATTAGAGCTTCAAATTTATCTTGAACTTTTGATTGTGCATACAAAAACATTCAGTATCATAGAAAATCCACATTCAGACATTCCCTGAAATTACACAGATTGATTATAGCTCCAGGTTGATAGACCTATTTCTCCAGTCAGCAAAAATACAACAAATTGGCAACAAATCCATGCATCCATTTATGTATTCAATGAGTTTTTAATGAATGAGCTTGGTTAATTATTTCTTTGCTCTCAGATATCCCATGGAGTTGCACCTAAGCTACTTTCAAAGGAGAAACTGGAGTATAAATAATGACATGACCCAATAACTTAGAAATTAGTTGGAAGTATGACTCAAATCACCTGTCATTTCAGATAACCATTTCCCTTCTTTTGCTCAGCATAAATGCAATTATTAGACACGTTAAAGCATAGTTTTTTCTACATAAAGAACTTGTACAACTGAAAAAAAAATCTAACCATACACATGGCTTTGAGATGGCCCCTAGATTAAGCTCTTAAAGAAGTCATGAACTGGACATCATGCAGTCTACATTAAGCCCAGTTTCCTAGTTGAACAACTTACAACTCTCTCTGATCCCTTAGTGCTAGCAAGCAATTTAATGTTATGTAAGCTCCAAGGGAGACGTCAGCATCATTTTTTTTTTGCATTAAACAAACAAACCGAAGTGAGGCATATTCCTGTAACTTACCATATATTTGGATTCAACTCTAGTTGGTGGTAGGAGTCAAAGTCATCTCGTAGGATAATGCTGTCGCTATGTACTTCAGCTAAAAGAAAAATAAAATACTTAGAAAAAAGTTACACTACACAATAGATTTAGCTACACAGAAGTGTCAATGTGCTGCCTTTATGAGGAATAACAATATTTTAAATTAAAGCTGAATTTAAAATGAGCAGTTGATTATATTGTACTTGTTTTGCCCCTAAACTACAAAGGGAAAGGGTAAAGTTTCTGCTGTTTAGACACACAGAAGTCGGAAAACCAGAGTCCCCAAAGAGAAACCCTACCAAATCCTCACCAGCCAGAAGAGGCAGGAAGGCCAAGGTCAGTACTAACCTACAAAGAGGGGTCATGCAAGATTTGCTTCCCATAGCTCCATATGCCCAGAAAAGATTCAGTGTTAACTCACTTTACAGCATAGAAGGAGATGGAACATTCTGGCTATTTACCGTCGGCTAACATGGCTGGTGTTTAACCCATTTCCTCTTCTCTTTCCTACTATCCCTCTTGCCCTGGCTCATTTTCTCTCATTCCCTATATTCACTCATTTTTTAAAAATTTAATGTGTTGCAAATTGTTAGCAACTTTTTCCCCTCAGAGCTGCACTGGAGAAATGATCTACATGAGTCCATGAAAGTCCCAAGTAAAGTCATGTTAAAAGTCAGGATGAATACCAGGAAGCCATCTACAGTTTAAAGTATACCATCATTACACTTGAGATTGTATTAAATACCTATTTTCAAGCTTTAGAACAACTTTGGCCATTCTAAGAGCAAAGACTGTCTTCATAAACTATAGAATGTGTGGTATTTCCACTGAGTAGAAGGTGGGCAAGTAAAAAAATTTCATGGCTCACTTTTAAGATTCTATGAGAAATAATCACTATTTCTATTCAAGCTGTAAAGAATGAATTTAGTGCTTAAAAACCCTCTCTCATTTGATACCCGTGGTTTGCTTGGGAAGTTTGTTTTGGCTGTATAAATTCTCTGAGCCTGTATAATTTTGTTCAAACAAGTTTACATATGCTTTTTGGGAAAAATTAAAATCATAGGACGTGATTAACGAAAAAATAACCAAAAATTTTTATTATATATTTTATATTTTTTATTTATATTTTATAAAATATATTTTATATATTTTACTATATATATATATATTTGGCTCACTTGAAAATAATATGTTAATTCACTGGGTAATTAAAATCACCTCCAACTCTCAGGAAGCATACTTCCAGATTCTCTTTGGTGACACTGCCACCCACAGCCACCCTCGCTCTCTTGATTCCAGGTACACCAGCAGGTGAGCACATAACGAAGTCCGGGCAACCAGTGAATCAGCACGTATTAAGAGCAATGGCTGCTCAAACTCGGAAGCCTTAGGCACGACAACAGGGAGAATATGGATTTCCGCTGGAGAGAACGCTGTGATGTGTTCTGTGCGTGGGAGTGATTTAATGATTCCTCTGAGCCATCAGATGTGGGGCCTGAGATGCCTCCAGGGCACAGCTCTCCCAAACACCTAAACTGGCCGAGACACGGCTGGGCCACTGCGGGTTACCAGCCTGCCTCGGCTGCCAGAAGGCATGCTTCTAAGCACTGGCGTTCATCTGCCAAAGAAGAGCCCCAAGCTGTCGCATTACATAAAAGTCGAGCTTCTCGAGGCAGATTTTCCAAAGAGAAAAATAAATTAATTGGGTTTGTAGGTTGAAAGGAAGACCCCAAGAGACAAATAACTGACCCATCTCCAAGTCCCACCGCAAGAGACATCTGAAAAGGCTGGAGCCAGCCAGGATGATTTATTTTTCATTCTTATGACATAGTATAGTGTAGGAAATGGCTTTTAAAAGAATCTTCACTAACACAAATGGGAAACTGAACTCTTAAAGATCACTTGTTTTCTAGAGAATGTTTGACAAAGGCACGGGTAAGCCTCAGTGGTTATTGTTCATGTATTTACTTCTTTCCAAGCACTGTTATGTCATTGACTGTGCACTTTATGAAAAGGAATTCATTTCATCCTCAGAACAACGCTAGGAGGTAGGTACTATTATGACATCCATTTTACAGATGAGGAAACTGAGGCCCAAAGAGGCTAAGTAACTTACTCAATGTACATGGCTAGCAAGTGAGAAGGTGAGATGAGCCCAGGTAGGGGCTCCAGAAGCTGTCCCCTTAACCACTACACAACCTTGCCTCGCATGGCATTATGGAAAGAACACAAGCAAAATGAGAGATGGTACTTTACGTGGTGTCATTAAACAAAGCTTATAGTTATTTAAACAGCCTCATTTTAATTTTTAAAGAAATGACCAAATTCCTTCTTTTTATAACCAAGCACTGGTCTGAACAGGTATCTCAAATCCAAAATGACCTCCATTCCTCCATACTCCTAGCTCCTTACCCACTATCCTTATGATCTACTATTTGTGATGGAGCTCTGGGGAGAATTTAGCATTAGAATATAGGATGGAAAGGTCACATTCAACAGGATCCCAAGGCTGAATGTACTAACAGGTTCAAAAATCCCTCCATTAGCTCCAGCTGGGCAGCATGATCACCTCCTTGGCGAGGTCCTGTGTTCAAGCATAATCTGAACCTAAGACCGAGTCTAGTGAATGATTAGTGAGAATCAGAGAGGGCAGGAAGTTTCCTCACCTTTATATCATCTGCCCACCTAGCCAGAGGAGTGAAACAAGCACATCTAGTACTAAGATTAGTGACATCAGGGTCTTAAGCACTTACCTAGATGTGGGTGCATTGTGGCTTCTGTTGGAGCTGGACCGAGAGAGAAAAAGGGAAAGATGGTTGATTAGCAATGAAAGCAAAATCCAGTATGAATCAAATACAATGACAAAACTTAGGTCATACTAAACAAATTAAATGGTTAGAACCTTTTGAGAGGAGTAAGACAAAAATGTCAATAAGTGTCTTAAAGTAAGGCATCCAACTCTCTAATTATTCTATTTAAAAGTAATGCATTACTCCTAAAGTGTAGAGTAGAATCCCTCACTCACACTCAGGATAGTTGTTTATTATGCAAGCTTAATCAGGTATCCCTTGAAACATATAAGATCAATGTGACGCGATAGTTAATGGACATGCCAAAACTATTTCTGAGCACCCAGTATCTGTCAGGGGCTGTTCTGGGTGTTAGGGAAATAGATAAAAGCACCACCTTTGCTCTCAAAAGAGCTTACCATGTGGTAACTAGAGTATAGTGTAGTAAGTGCTGTGGCAGTGTGTTTGGAGGAGGCTGGGGAGATGGAGGATGAGGAAGGAATACTAATTCCAGATTGGACAGTAAGAGGGCTGTCAGGGGAGGTTTCCCAGAGAAGATAATTTCTTTGCTGAGGTTTTTTTTTTTTTAATGATTTTATTTATTTATTTGAGACAGAGACAGACAGAGAGAAAGAAGCAGACTCCCTGCTGAACAGGGAGCCCTACACGGGGCTTGATCTCAGGACCCTGGGATCGTGTCCTGAGCTGAAGGCAGATGCTCAACCAATTGAGCCACCCAGGCGGCCCCTCTGCTGAGTTTTGAAAGATGAGCAGAAGGAAGAGAGGTGGTAGCAGGGGAGCAGAGAGGGGCTTCTTTCTGGAATAAAAGTGAAATGGCATAGGGAAGCAAAAGAGAGGGTCGCCTGGGTGGTGCAGTCAGGTAAGCGTCTGACTCTGGGTTTCAGCTCAGGTCATGATCCCATGGTTTCTGGGATCTTGGGCTCTGCGCTCAGCAGGGCGTCCTCTTGAATTTCTCTCCTCCCTCTGCCCCTCACTGCCCCCACACTACTCTCTCTCTCTCTCTCAATAAATAAATCTTCAAAAAAAAAAAAGAGAGAGAGAGAGAGAGAAGCAAAAGAGAATGGCTTTTGGGAGAACTACAACAATTTCAGCATGACTGGATGAAAGTTTAAGAGGAAAGAGTAAAAAAGGTGATATGGGGACAATCGGGGGGAAAGATCATAGAAGTGAATGCTGGGGAATTAGGACTTAACCATGAAAGCTTGAAGATTTTCTGAGCATTTATAAGCAAAGGAATGGGTGTTCAAAATATGCTTTTTAAGATAGGGCACTCTGCAAATATGGGACACTGCCCAATTAATACTTTGGTTATTTTTTTTTTTCTCAAAAAACTACGGAGTCTATGAAGAAATGTTGGCAATTCACTATCTAAAAATTGGAACTCATGACATAAATATTTTTAAATCTCTTTTATCAGCTAAGGAATAATTTTAGTTAGATATAAAAAAATTAGTTTCTGTCACAATGGTCAGTGCTTCAGCTATGTTAGTTGGAAAATTCAGACTTAACAACATTTTAAAACTACAGACTGATATTTATCTTATTGTTTCATACCAACATATTATACATATTGAAAATATCTGTGTTTGGTTTTTTGAAACAGACTCCACGGTAAGTGTCATGGATATAATTGTTAGTACAGAGTTAGTACATACATGCAAATGTTCTGACTCATCAACGGTTTATGAAACTCTTGGAAAAAAAACAAGAAAAATGGAATGATCTTGTGTCTTGCGCCAACGCTTATTGGTTACGTTATAGAAGAGTTTTATAAAGATTCACTGAACTGTTAACTCTAATTTAATATGTTCTTGAAACAAAAGGAATAATTGCTCATTAACCAGTAATCAATGACAAAAACCTGACACAATGATGTATGTTGTCTGACCACTATCACACCATAAATGAATGAGCTGAATTTGAAGCTTCAAGGAAGGCAAGAGTTTATTTGCAAAGTGGTTGGAAAAATAAGAGAACTCATATTGAAAGCAAAATCTCTAAAATACAAATAAATAATGATTTTATACATTTTCCTAACAGGAATCAATAAGCAGATTTTAATTGCAATGGACATTTTTTAAATTGTCTGCAAAAAGACTCCAAAAATACTTTAAAATGCCTTGTTGATATGATAATTTTGGAGTAGCCTTCCAATTTATGTAATATTCCTATAAAACTCATGTTAATAATACTAGGTGGACATAGGAGTAAATGGATTTACTTGGTCAAATGTAATTTTGAAACTGATATGCCTTCATATCAAAGTTAAATAGTCTCCTCTAAAAAAGATGTATACATTTTGTCAAGGTGGATGTGAGTATTAAAGAAAAATAATTTTTAATATTTGATTCAGTTATTGGAAAACCTGTAAGTAGATATGGAACAACTGGGTATGTGAATCTAATTTTCAACTCTAAATTTTACAGAATCTCAATACAAAGTGTTCTAATACTTAAGATGTACTCTAAGTGTAAAAAAATACCAGATTTCGAATACTTCATACAAAAAATAATGAAAAATATCTCATTAATAATTTTATATTGACTACATTATATTGAAATGTTTAATATTTTATATATTCCATTTTAAATAAAATAGGTTATTAAAATTCATCTATTGATTTTTGTTTTTTAAATGTGGCTGCTAGAATACTGAAAATGATACATGTGGCTTGCATTATACTTCAACAGGACAATGCTGAACAAGAGCTAGGAGGGAGAGCTGTGCTAGATATCAGCTAGGGAATCATTATCACACAGGACATGTGGAGACATGGAAGAAGACCATGTCACCCAGAGAGAATGTAGGGCATAAAAACAGAAGTGAAATGAAGAGGTAAAGATGCACTTCAGGAACTGGCAGAAGAAGAAGAGCTAGCAAAGGAGACTGAGAAAGAGTACATTTCATTATGGAAATAAGGAAAAGAGAGAGTTTTAAGAGAGAAGAGGGTTGAATGAGATTAAAATAATCCTAATAAAGATGATATCTATTGAGAACATCCTGTTATCAAAGCACTGTTAAGCAGAGTCTAGAGATGAACCCAGGGAATTTGGCTTCAGAGGCCACACTTGTAACTACTGTGCAGATTGTTCTTTCAAAAAAGTTCACTGCAAAGTGAGAGAGGAGATTTTGTAACACCTAATGAGGAACGAGGACCAAAGAAATTTTGTGGTTGTTGTTTGCTTTGTTTCTTAAGATATGACAGTTGTTTACCATGCCTAATAATCAGCTATTTTTTTTAAAGATTTTATTTATTCATGAGACACAGAGAGAGAGAGAGAGAGAGAGAGAGAGGCAGAGGCAGAGGGAGAAGCAGGCTCCTTGAGGAGTAGAGAGCCGGATGCTGGACTCGATCCCAGGACAACGGGATCATGACTTGAGCCGAAGGCAGATGCTTAACAAACTGAGCCACCCAGGTGCCCTAATATCAGCTATTTTACAAAAGGGGTTCTCTGTGTTCATGGAATAAATTCCGAAGAGGGAAGGAATAACACTGATATCTATAAAATATTTAACTTCAAAAAAACCTGGGAAATATATGTAAAATTTATGGCAATTATCAATTAAAAACACTTACTAGTCAGTACCATGGTTAGATAAGTATAACAAAGTATCTGCAGAGACATCAGGACCCACTTGATTTTATATGACTCTGGTGATTAAGGTCTGGACCCAATAAATAAAATAAGTTATAAAATGTTTTACTCTAAGCAGTCTATCCATATTGATAGTTTCCTTTCCTACATTATTTTGGCACTTGGCATCTTACACTGAACCACCTATAATATAGATCAGGGGAGGGCCAATTACAAAAGACCCACTGAGTCAGAATCTCTGGGAGTGGAGGCTTAGAATTTGTTTTTTGTTTTTTTTGTTTCTGGTTTGTGTGTGTGTGGTGGAACAAGAAAGGATTTTATCTCTGTGAGGCCAACACCAGGAAGACAGCAGACCAACATCTCAAAGACTATCTCTGGAATCTGTATTTTTCAAAAACCTTTCCTGCTGATTCTGATAGAAAGCCAAATTTAAGAACCATTGGTCTTTTTTTTTTTTTTAAAGATTTTATTTATTTATTTGACAGAGACACAGTGAGAGAGGGAACACAAGCAGGGGAAGAGGGAGAAGCAGGCTTCCCACCGAGCAGGGAACCCGATGCGGGGCTCAATCCCAGGACCCTGGGATCATGACCTGAGCAGAAGGCAGATGCCTAATGACTGAGCCACCCAGGCGCCCCAAGAACCATTGGTCTTAATCATAGAATCCGGCCCTTATTTTTACAGCATGCAGAACTATGCTCTGTATTAAATATATATCTTTTCTCCCAAGAAGAAATTAGTCCCTCAAAGGCAAAAAATATGCCCATCCAAGACACCAGCTTAAGCTGCTAATTGGTTCTCAGTAAATACTGAATTAAACTGAGAGCTACTTCTGTGTGTGTGTGTGCGTGTGTGCATGTGTGCGTGCGTGCACGTGTGTGTGTGGTGTGTGTGCATGTGTGTGTGCGTGGTGTGTGCGCGTGCATGTGGTGTGTGTGTGTGTGTGTGTGTGTAAGAGAGAGTAGTGGGGGCAGAGGGAGAAGGAGGGAGAGAATCTCAAGCAGACTCCCCACTAAGCATGGAGCCCAACAGGGCTCAGTCTCATGACCCTGAGATCATGACCTGAGCCCAAATCAAGAGTCAGACACTTAAAGGGGCTGAGCCACCCCGGCACCCCACTACTTCTTGATTGTAATATATTTTATGAAATTTTGGAAAATGAATAATTGAAGATCCAAACCTCTGAAAAAAAGGCCAAAATGTATTCATAACATTGTGAAAAATTCCTTTAGTATAACAGTCTGGGTAGTTTAAACACCCAATAAGTATCCACCTGAATTTAAACAGACTCTATGGTAATTCAACGAATTTAAATCATATTTTAAATCACTAGTTAGGAAAACTCAATTCAATATTTTAAACAAAATCCACTGAGATAAA